TCTGTCTGTCTGTCTGTCTGTCTGTCTGTCTGTCTGTCTGTCTGTCTGTCTGTCTCTCTCATACACACATACACACACGTAGACACACAGGCAAACACAAATACAGACTCTTTAAGACTTAACCATGTTAACAAGAGCTTTACTGTGTGTTTGAGAGCGAGCGACAGAGAGAGAGAGAGAGAGAGTGAGAGAGAGAGAGAGAGAGAGAGGGAGAAAGAGAGAGAGAGGGAGAGAGAGAGAGAGGGAGAAAGAGAGAGAGGGAGAAAGAGAGAGAGAGGGAGAAAGAGAGAGAGGGAGAAAAAGAGAGAGAGTGTGTGTGTGTGCGCGCGCGCGCGCGCGTGTGTGTGTGTATAGACAGAGTAAAAGACAGAGTGATATCTACATACAAATGCGTGAAAAATCAAATCTGCATATTCTGTCTCTCTCTACACAATAACCTTTGTACATTGACAGATATCCGGCCTTCTGCCCGGAGTTGAAGTTGGTGGGCTGGTGCTCGACACATGCACAGACGCTGTCTCCGCCCTTAGAACTCTCGGGGACTTTCACACATGTGCTGTAGACTTTCGTGGGCCTGCAGGAGTCTTCGGTTCGATCTCACGGGCTTCAAGCAACGCTACCTCTACGCCAAACTGGAAAGCGAAAAGGACTGAAACTCCTAGTCCAAGCCAAAACTTGGGATATGTCATCCATGGAGAGATGCGGGACTTTGACGTTATGGAAAGAGAGCTCCGAGACTCCGCGAAGTACCCAACAGTTGCTTTCGTAGAAAACCCATTGGACCAATCAGAGATAGCGACAGTAAACGCTTATCACTCAGCCGCCATAACTGATGTCTTGCATGAGTTAGATTGGGACGTATTTGTCATACTAAGCGAAGAATCTCTCGAGCACAGCCACATGGCAAATGCACTGAAGAAAAGAGCGATATCCAAGAGTCTTTGTTTGATTGCACATATCCAGTTTGAACCTGACAACTTTTGGAAAATCCAAGATCAACTGAGCAGGCACGAAGGCCTTCCGGTGGTATTAATATCTAGTCAGGTTTCCAGAAAGAAGGCATTTGATTGGCTCAAAAAGGAAAAGAGCCTCTTCAAGTGGGTTATCAGTGTAGTGAATGAAGAAAGAATAGATGTTGATACGAACGACTTCCCCTGGGGATCAATATTAATCGACTCGTCTGCTAAATGGAATGACCATTTCTTCAACGACCTTGTTGACTCTGTAAATAGTCCACGCATCGATAACGATCGTTCGTCTTGGTACCGCGATCTGTGGCGTTTAAGGTTCGATTGCTACTTACGACCCAGTGACCGTCGTTTCAGTAATGCAGACACAGCCTGTCCTTCAACAGCTCCAGCCTCTGACCTTGAACACGTGACAAGGTCAGCCTCCTACGTCATCGCCTCCGTGGACTCCATCCTACACGGTGCGCATGAGCAGTACATGCAGTTGTGTCCTGAAGCTTCCGGTATCTGTGACGCGTTCGGAGCCCTGCTACTAAAACGTCCACGGTTTACGACGGACGTTATTTTTCAGTATCAGCTTCATGAAATAGAGTTCCGCTCTGGTGGAACCTTTCTGCCGACGCTCTTGGTCTATAACGTGCAAAGAGGGAAAATAATAGAAGTAAGTGACACTTTTCTAGTTGTAAGAATGTAGTTTAGGGGAATGGGGTTAGTTGGGGTGGGGTGGGGTGGGGTGGGGT